GCATTGGCCGTTAAAACTAGTGACCAACTCTCGCTGACCCTTGAAGGAACCACTGCAAAAAGATGCTGCAAGAAAGCCTTATGAACTGTGCTTCGGAAAACACACTCAGAGCCCCACCAATTCAGGCATTTCAGCCAAATTTGATACATAAATGAAACAAGTCAGCATAATATGATCTAGAGGACAATATCTTGCAAAATGTGGACACAAGATCATCAACCGATATGTTCACTCCTCTACGAGACAAATTCATCTTGATTGGTATATTTGTTCAGCATCACCTTCCACATAAAGATTGCTTGGAGTAAATTAATTTACCGCCCTACTTGGAAAGCAATTGCTACTACTTGGAGCTAAAGATGAGTAACTATTTTGATACACAAAATTTGACTCAAAAATTAGATGATACATATTACTGTAAAACCTCCATAAAGGAAATACCTTATTCCTAATTTGAATGTCTTATTCTTGTATCAAATTGAATAGGGTAAACTTGTTTGATTCCATCATTTTTTTTAATAAAAAAATTATAATTTTATTGATAATTAATAAAATACATTAACTGCATCGATGGAACATGTCTTATATAGGCTACAAACAAGCAACTGCTTATAACATTAGCATGGAGGAATATGCCCTATTTGAATGAGTAAATTAAAAACTGAGAGTCTCCTATACTAGTGTCATAGGTATATGTTTTTTTTTTTGTATGACCATCTGGTATCCAGAAACTCATTGAGCCACTAACTAATCCAGATTCAAGTCGGGTAGGACCCTATGAGTGGCGAAGCTCTCCCTGAGTTTTAACAGAGATGCATTCTTAGGACTTAAACTCAAGATCTCTGGTTAAGTTGGAAGAGTCTCAGCCAACTCATCCACCCGCTCATTGGTATATGTTTACAAGCCAAAAGATAAAGAGTTATTGTGTCTACGCATCTATAAGTTCTGAATAACTTCATGGTGTAGTTAGTATAGGAGACTACACGGTGTAATTACTTAAAACTTACAGATGGTTAGACACAGTAACTCTTTTCTTTTCGCTGGTTAACATCTTTATGACGCTATTATAGGAGACTCTCAGTTTTTAATTTACTCATTCAAATAGGACAACAAAAACTAGGGAGGGCAACAAAAGGCACTACAACAGTCTCCTATCCACTATGGCACCATCATATCAGATTTTAACCTAACCATTAGAACCTCTTGTGCTGCCAGATATTGACCTTAGATGTATAAGGCATGCGTTAATGGAACCCCTGGATTAAAGCTCAAAGGAAACTCATAGTATGAACAATTCTTAAAGTCACTTGCAAGGGGGAAAACAAGCTCATCACCCAGACATGTCTTCTTCTCCTCGCGGTTCGTTAAGAACTAACAGCGATGGCTAGGGACTTCCGCACCATGCTTGTCCCAGTCCTCCACCAATCACAGCTCTTCGACCTCATCTCGTCTACAACCCAAGCAAACAGTACCACTGTGAAAACAAAGGTCATCTGTTTCAAATGCCGCTAGCCAAAATCAAAAGCAGCATGCCTATTCGCCGCACATGTACATGAAGCCGTAATCATCAACCCGTAGCCACTATCAAAGAAAGTTTTTGATTCCAAAGCCCACATCCCACCATATCAACTAGCAGAAGCAAGTTTTTGATTTTACTTTTTTTTTTTTTTATAGAGATTGACAGATAAAATCCGTAAAGGTGACAAAGAGAGGAAATTAAAGAAAACTGGGGAAAAAAAGGGATAAATTTCCTAGAGATAGAGGTCCCAAATGCAGGAATTCACAAGTCAACAAAGAAGGAAATCCTAACCCTAACTCTAGCTGCGATGATTCTAGCTATGTCCTACAATAATAGTCATTTTTTGACTTTGTTTGATTCATCAATATTGATTTAATAATATGTTTAGTTTGAGAGAAATGAAAGGGATGAGAGAGTGGAAGGATATTGTATCATTCTATTTCCCTTTCCTCTTCTCTAATTTATTTAGTAATCAAATAAAGATATTTTTTTTCTTTCTCTCCCCTTAAACCAAACATGTTATAAAAGAAAAGAAGAAAGAAAAAAGGTAAAAGAGAAACAAATAGAGAACATAAAACACAAAAGCCAAGAATAGGGACCAATTTGCATTTCTTCTTAATTAAATGTTGCATAAGGTTCACAAAAGTAAAAGCAAATCCAAGAACCTAAGGGAGAAAAAGAATCTGGCTAGCAAATTAGAGCATTAGATTAGACTCAATCTTTCGGTTCGGGGTTAATAATTACGTTTTCCATTAGTGCAATGCAATGCATTGTTTAATTAGTGCCCTTTAGTTTGATAGTGATTTTTTTCCAATGATTAGTTATAAAAAAAGAAAATAATTTTTTAAGACAAAGAAAGAAAAATAATTTTTTATTAAAAATGTTATAATATAATAACACGTAATATTGTAAATTTATAATATAATATGTTGTTATATATAAATTGACTCTTTTCATTTAAGAATTCATTTATGATATTATATATATATACTTGTTTAATTACACATTATATTTATTTAATGTTATATCATATTATAAATTATAATTTTATATAATATTATAATTATTATATTATTTTTTTATTAATCTCTTATCAATTTTATTTAAAATTTAAATTTAACACTTTCGAATCAAATATTGAAATTGTTAACTACAGGACTCACCCCGCAAGGGCTTTGTTTGATAAGTGACGATACCCTTTGTTGAATGATTTTCTATGCCAGTTTGTTTACATACGCTTGATTGATTGGTCCCAATTATAAGCATTAGAAATTGGTTAAAGAAATCCGTTTTCCAGAAATTAGGTAACATCATAGAAAATAATTACCATGAATGAAAAAGTGGTGCAACCGACCTTGGAAATTATAAGAAATGACATGTAGGTTGTGCTTTGATGTACTCAAAAATATAAAAGTTGTCTTGGGTATAGACCTTTAATCATATACCATAAGAATATATGCAGTTAATCTCCTTAATTAATTAATTTGCTTTTTGTTTTTTTTCTTCAGTAAGGTTGTATGGACTGATTCACAAAAGATTGTGTATAGTATTGGAGATTTATGTCATAATCACTCTATGTTGCATATATCCATCAAGCCACGTTGGTGAAATGATCCATTTTTATTCTTTTTAGGACGGTGGGCCTTTTGGTAGTTGCTTAGTTACTAACATATGATATAAAAAATATATTTTGTAGTCCCGATTATATTACAAGCTGCAAAGACCAGGCACTTATTTGAATGTCATTAATTTTACAAAAATAACTAATAAAACCAATAAGGTACTACTAAGGAGGAGCGTAACAGAAATTCATTATTGTGGAATCGATCTTTAACATTTAATGGTTTGTTCCTACATCTTAATATTTAGATAAAATTAATTAGAAGTTTAAATCTCAATTATTACTTAAATAATTACATTTGACTTACAAGTTATTGATGTTTCTCCCATGAGTTGGATAATTCCCTTCCCCTTTCCCCTATAATTGCCCTTATTCCGAAAGAAAAAAAAATCACTATTGATCTGAACAGGGTGATATGATGTATTGGCAAAAGAGGCCAGAATCCTCGTTACGGACATAGTGTCGACACTTTATTTGGGTGTCGACACCTCGTATTAAGTTTTGTTTTCTGAAGATTTGGAGTACCCTTATATTCCGTTTAATAATAAATAACATTTTTGCTGTTCAAAAAAAAAAAAAATCACTATTGTCAACCAGGATAATTTTCTATATCAAGACAAGCACCAACCATTAGCAATACTTTGTTAATTATTTGGTATTTTATTTCTTTTATTTTCAATTGAAAAATTATTAATATGCTTTTTGATTTAATATACCTTTCAATATTAATTTAATTTAATTATTAAAATACAAGTCAAATGTCAAATTTAATTCTTAAATTTTTAATCTTAAACAAAATTTTCCCCTCAACTTTTTTTTTTTTTTTTTT